GATTGTTGGGTTTTTCTCTGTATCTATGAAGCGCCTTGAGGCGACTTTTGTTGTGATTTGGCGCTATATAAATAAAATTGAATTGAATTGAATCATCGGTCGCCTGGTTGCCAAAGCTGACTTGCTCCTCTGAAAACAGTGTCACTACATCATTTTAGTCATACGGTAAACTGAAGAAAGCAAGTTTATGTTTGCTACAAGCTGATCCAAAGTGTTAAAAAAGTGTGAAATGACTCAAAGCAGCTTCCAAGTTTTTTTATTATTGAAAAAAAAAAAAAAAAGCCTGCACAAACTATTTTCTCCTTGTTTCTTACTGATAATATGGAGCACATCAGGTCTGATGAGCGGCTCCCCTCCAGTGAGGCGGATCTTGTCCACCCCCTCTTGGACGAAGAGGTGAGCCAGGGTCAGCACCTCAGAGGTGGATAGCAGCTGGCCCCGTGGTGTGAGCTTCACCCCCTCCTCTGGCATGCAGTACTGACCTAGAAATGAGAAAGATGAAAGATGTATTTTATCCTACATTAGTGAGAATTCCTTCTTTTACTACGATAAATACTGAAGTAACACAACGAAATAAAAGGGAACAAGGGGACAAACCAAAAACTCTTTTGTGCAGGAAAGAAAACTTTTTCTTTCTCCAGTAGGTCAGCAGAATTTGGGCATTTTAGTGCACTTCTGTGAAAGGTTTACTAAATACAATGGTTAACTTGGTCTAATAATGTTGCTCCACTAGTGGGCTGGGAATGTAACAATGGTTTCTTGATAAGATCCACAGAAAATAAACATTTACTCACAGCGGAAGTTGCATTTCTCTGTGAGGGAGATTCGTAGGTAGTTGTGCCTGCGGCCAAAGTTGTCAGTCAAGAACGCTGAAAAGGGAAGTATGCTGTCGTCCCTGAGCCTCTTCTGGGGAGGAAAAGAACCGGGAAAAGACACCGATCAAACTATATACCCTGGCATTCAACTTATTTAGAATAAAACACAACAGCCCCTCTGAGTCCCATCATGCCAGAGACACAATAATGTCAGCTGAAGCCAAATCTGTGTCCCAGCTCCTGACCTTTGCCCATCACGCATGAGCACCTGCGGTTATGTCAAAAGTTACCAGTATAAAAGCAAACCAGTGACTCAGCAGTTGCTCGGAGACACTCTGTTAATCAACAGGCTGATCATTTAACTGCACTGATCTTTTTAGACCTTCCCAAGTCCCTTCATTGTTTCTTAAGGTAAAAAGCTTCATATAAAAGGCACTTATGCACACTTTAGTCAATTTTTCCCTATTATTGCCCTATCATAATTATTATAGTCACTGATGTAAAATGCACCTGCAACCCAGAGAGACACAGCAAGAAGATGAACAATGAATGCTACTCTGTTATTTGACTACTGGACATTCAGGAGCATGCTTGCTCTGTCAATCATCTCTGATTATCAAGCACATGGATAGAGTATGTATGTATGTATGTATGTATGTATGTATGTATGTATGTATGTATGTATGTATGAGGTAGAAACGATATTTTAAAGAAGTAGACTATCTCAATAACACCATCTTAAACTGTTTATAGTTTGGGCCTCCAAACAGTCCAAAAGATCTCCAAAAGATTCAAAATCTGTATCATCTAAAGCACAATTTCAATCCAAATAGAAAAAATTACTTTTAATCTCAACCAACTTTATTAGTTTATAACAATTCTTTTCCTACTTGCAACTACTGGCTATCACATCTATCTTATCACATGATATCAAGTATGTAAAACTACAAAGCAGTGACAAACGTAAGGAAGGTGAGGTGTTGTTTCCCCCCTCTGATTGGTTTTCACAATCACGCCAAAAACACACCCCATGACCCCCTTTTATATCACAGCCACGCTGTCATAATGGATAACCATTTGGTTTAATATTTATTCCTTAGTTTAGTGTTTCCTGGGCCCAGTTTATAACCTGTTCAGGTTATAAGCTTCTCACCTTTACCCCTTCAGACAGGACAATCTTAGCTGCAGGCCCGGCTTGTGTTACTGTTTTGGAGGTTGACTTACCTGTGTTGCCCTGGTTTTGAAGTTGGAACCAGCAATAGTCGAGTCTGTGAGTTCAAGTTCATTTTCCTCGTGCGTAACACCGGAACAGCTCCGCGCGATGCTTCTGTTCACGCGCCGTGCAAACAGTTTCCTAACACGTGTCAAAGCGCCGTTTCTGTCAAACAGACGGCAGCACATGCTAACAGGAGCAGCCATAGTTCAACCATTTGACAACTCCGAGGTCCTCTGTTTGCTCTTTCTCTCCGACCTGCAGTTCAACAACGTCTCTAACCAACCTGGACCAATCACAGTAACGGACGCATACCATGGTGCACTATGGGTAGTGTAGTCAAGCGTAACCAAAGATTTTTTTTTACATAGAAACCGCCAATGGAGGGTAGCACTGAGACAGGTTATTTCAGGGAACTAAAAGCAAATTAAAACTAGGAGTGAAAATAAAATAAATAAAAAAAAGACGATTTTAGACAAATATGAAACCTAGCTTAAACGTGCTGTGAGTTAACACAGCAAAGTTGTATTACCTCTTATGAAGTTCTTAAATCAGCCATCCTGCTATTATATTTAAAAAAAACAAACATTTTTTTTAGTAAAACCTAAACTAAAAAAAGAAAAACTAAAAACTAAAAATATTGTGTACTTGGACACAACTCGGATCTTGGAGAGGTAATACTGACAGATTATGTTCCCAAACAAAATAAGCAAAAGCAGCCTGTTGTAAGACACTTCTTTTCCTCATGGGTGCTGGTGTTCAGTGATCCAAACTGAATAACTCGTAAGGTGACAGTTCCCATGCTTGATCCTCTGAACCACACAAAACTTTAATTTAACATGAGTGCCATCTAACTTATAAATAAGCTTTCTCCTTTAGGAAGGAAAAGAGTCTTGAAGGAAGTCAGGCTCAGGGCATGGTCCCTCCAAATCAGGTCTGGAAGAACCTCAGAGCTCTACAGTAATGATCTAAACTCAAAATAATCCCTGTTACTTAAAGTACTTAGTCTGACCATGGTTTGTGACTTAGTATTTCTTAGTATTTCTAGTGCCCCGACCTTTGATGGATTCTCATATATACTTTACATCTCAGGGTACTTGAATTTTATTATTCCTATTTTTTCCCCATCCTACATGCATATCTTTTATTTGTTTGTTTTAAATAAAGCTTATAGCGTAGTTTTCATCTATGTGCAACTTAGCACATAGATGAAAACAAAATAAGTAACGTCTTTATGTGTGTTGACTTGGCAATTACATTATTTAGCAAGAAATATTGAGAGTAATTAGTTGAAAGCAAATTATAATACTTAATAGCTGCAGATGATGTGCTGAACTCTTGCTTGGTGCGTAGTTTTGGTGTTTTTCATAACATCCTGTAGCAATGTGCATAGGCATTTGGCTTTTTCACCAGCAAAATTCACCCAAAAAATTAATTTAGTGCATAAAAATTACCAGAACTCTCAGCTCAGTGCATGAAAATGATGTGCTGGACTAGTCCAAACTCGACTAAACTAAAAGTAATATTTAACTGAATATGCAACAAACTGAAATAAATATTGAAAGTACTGTTTTGCATTTTTTATGTTTTGTTTGTTTGTTTTTTTAACTACTACAAAGTAAGAAAAAAAATGGGAAGCATCCTGCGGGAGTCTTCACTACTGGAATCAGTCAGCAGTTCACACCTTGCCCACTAGATGGAGATGCAATCACATGCGGAGCATTTAGGTGTTCAAACGTGAACCTGTTGGCTTAATCAGATGAATTAAATAGAAAAGGGAACATTTTGTGATTGGATTCATTTTTCAGACCTGCTCTCAGTATAATCTGCACAACTCATACACATCATGACACAAAATAACAGACTGTGACTAGTAAATATTTAGTGTAGCAGGGGATATCAAGGTGACTTTTCTGGCTCTGAATACCTGTAAATCAACACCTTTTTGCAAATACAACTGCAAAACATTTATGTGAATTTTAAGCTCTCAGGCAATCTACAGCATAACTGTGAAAATAATAACTCCCTCCCAGAGCTATAAATAGTAAGGCCAGCTGTTGGATCTGCAGACTTTCTGTTTCCCTGATGAGGGCTATTGTATTGCAATCAAGACACCTCGTTTGGACTAAAAAGCTCTTTGTCTGTGGAGTATATTTCTCAGCACCCCTGCTGAGTTCAACCCTGCCAGTAAATATGTATTTCCACAATACAAGTATATCTTGAAATAGGTGCGAACATACTGCGTGTTTAACGCTCTGTTCCTATAAAACACAGTTATACACCATGCAGTGCAATACAAGGAGAACCTCCAATAACAAATACACACACACATATGTGTGTATACAGTGGGGCAAAAAAGTATTTAGTCAGCCACC